TCCTGGTCATGATGACCATCCTGGTCATGACCTTCTCTGTTGGGTTCATGGTTGCCTTTGGGGATGAGAACGCCAACTTCTCCTCCTTTGCTGGCACCTTGCTCTCCCTCTCGGAGATTCAGTTCGGGAATTGGAATCCGGCCTCCTTGTCCACCAAGACCTCTCTGCTCACGGCCTCGCTCATGCTCTCCTTCTACTCCCTCCTGATGCTCCTCTCCGCCAGCGCCATCCTTGCGCTCATCAACTGGGCGACGCGCGAGGTGACTCACGGCAACGTGGAGCGAGAGACTGCCGATGAGGAGGGAAACCTCAAGATTCAGATTCGCATCGGGCTGGCCCGTGTCCTCAACACCAGATTCTTCTCCTTCCTGTGCGGGCGGTCGTTGCTGATCCACTACCTGCTGAGCTTCCAACACAAGAAGGCTCAGAGGATTGTAGGCGAAGAGACTGACGAGTGGGACGAGGAGCCCGTCCTCAACCGAGCCAAGAAGGCCTTCCGATCGCTCGTGCAAGAGACGCAGGACTTCAACGATGGGGTAGACAAGCTCTGCTCCTGCTTCGGCGTTGAGCACCTGGAGATCGCCAATCGCTGGCAGAAAGAGAACCTCTGGCGGAAGATCAGGAACGAGCAGCAGCAGCGAGTGTTCGAGCAGATGCTGGAAGGGCTGGTGGAGGGTCGAATCGATGCCGTGGTTCAGCAGTGCAAGCGATGGCGACAAGACTCGAGGGAGTCTGAGTCCAAGGGGAACCTGCACGAGCAGGACTGGAGGGACCAGGACGGGTTCTCCCTCCTCCACGTGGCCTCCCTGCAGGGCAACCCAGACGCCGTCCTGAAGCTCCTCGACCTCGGCGCAGACCCCAACGCGAGGAACGACGAGGGCAACTCGTGTCTGCACATCGCGGCGCTGAGCGGACAGCTGAACGCCTGTCGGGTGCTGACGGAAGGAGGAGCAGACTGCAACGTCGTCAACGCCAACTCTCTGACCCCCCTGCACATCGCAGCCTACGCGGGTCAAACTCCCGTGCTGAAGTTCCTCGTGGAAGAGTGCCGGGCTGACGCGAGCAAGGTGACGAGCGAGGGCCTCAGCGCCCTCCACCTCGCGGTGCTGCAGGGCCACGCGAGTGCCTGCCGCCTGCTCGCGGAGTCATGCGACCTGCTCAACGTGCGGTCAAACGGAGGAGAGACTCCGCTGCACTGCGCGGTGCTGAGCAGGCAGAACATCGAGATCGTGCGGATCCTCCTCAAGGCCGGGGCGAAGGTGGCGGGTAAGATGTACGACGGGAACAACGCGTACCAGGCAGCTGTGGAGCATGAGAGCCCGCCAGCTATCCGACGGATGCTGCTCAAGGTGCTGCAGATGGGAGATGACTACCTGAGGGCGATGGGAAGCCTGGAAGAGAAGGCGGTGGGGATCAGCATGATCAAGTTCGTGGTGAGTGGAAGGACGAAGGAGCTCTTGGACCTGATCAACGAAGGTGCTGACGTGGACGCTGTCTTCCCGGGTTGGCTGCGCTCTGCATGCAGCGGTCGCCAACCGAAAGCTTGAGAGCATCTCGACCCTGGTGGAGAACGGGGCAGATCTAAACGTCAGGAACGAGGAGGGAGACACGCCGATCCAGCTCGCGGTCCGCCTCGGCCTCTTCGAAGAGTTCCAGCTCATCGCGGACAAGATGACTCTTGACACGTTCCCGCTGGACGGCAAGGGTAACTCGCTGCTGCACATCGCCTCCAAGAGCTGCAGCAGCATGCAGATCGTCAAGTACCTCATCCGTCACTTCAAGATGGACCCTGCATGGAGGAACTTCGAAGGAGCGTCGAGCGTAGATCTTGCCATACAGTCACTGGAGGAAGCAAAGCTCGGGGCCTCTCCTCCCCAGCGAGTCTCGGAGCTCCAGGCCTTGGTGGAGCATCTTGAGAAGGAGCACGAGGCGTTGGCGGGGGATCTCGTGACGGTGACGCTGCCTGGGCAAGCGGAGGAGGGGCAGGTGCGGGTCTACTCCAAGAAGATGGTGAAGTTCTTCGAGCGGATTGGGTTGACGAGCATGGCGATCTCATACGCGCAGAAGCTGGCGGAGAACGACGTGGACATGGAGGGGCTGGGGCTGGTGACGGACGTGCAGCTCAAGGAGCTGGGAATCAACAAGATCGGAGTGAGAAACAAGATCCTGCAAGGCATCCGCGACTGGAAGAAGTACCCCGACTAGCTGTGTGCCATGGCACTGCCCCGTCTCCTCTCTCCCCCTATAGTTTACTAATAAACCATCAAGTGTCAATACCTCAAAGTCTTTTTGGCCTCAAATGAAAGGGAAGGTAAACCCTTTACTCAAAGTTAAGGTGTTCCGATCCGCCGGGCCCCGTGGCAATGCATTGAAACCCAGAAGAAGGGTCAGGACAAACAGCAGCAGCTTCTTCTAGAAGAAGGATCAGGACAAAGAGCGGCAAGGACGGCAAGACCCACTGCGAGATCTATATGCCGAAACAGACGATGTGCCAACGGAAAGTGCAGGGCCCCACTACCAACACATTAGAGGCCTTTACTCAAAGTTAAGTTAAAAATCAGTACGAGGACAATCATGTGACTAGAGGAGGCTTTGCAACTGCTGTATTGACAGAGCAGTACGGTAGCGCAAGGCTCCTGCGAGGAGGACGGCAAGACCCATGCGAGAGCGATACTGCCGAAACAGACGAGCACGCAAACGATGAAAGCCGGGCCGGTCCCCATACACCGTGACCCCGGGCCGCCCGGTCCCGGACCGGGAGTCCGACTCGGTCCGACTCCGCCGGCCAAGAGAGTCCAGAGAGAGTCAGGTTGAGTAGTGGTCAGCCAGTTTCGCGGATCCACTGTCTCTTCGCTGCAATGCTGTTGATTTGAGACGATGGTGGAAGGGAAGGGAACGAGGAAGGAGCTGCTTGTGCGTGGTGCTGAGACAAGGAGTGAGGGGAAGAGGTGGGGGTGGGAGGGGAGGATTTCAAGCAGAGTCGATTAGGAGGGAGACAGAGGAGGGGTCGTAGGAAGTGAATGGGAGTTTTGGAGGGAAGGAGTGAGAAAGAGAACGAGCAGGGTTTAAAGTAGGCAGACGAGGTGGAAGGGAGGGGAGTAGAAGGGGAGATTGCAGTAACGTAGAGGAAGAGATTCGAGGAGATTGAGGGAATCTCAGTGTTGCTGCCTTGTCTTGAAACCTTCATAAGACTTTCGTCATGGACAGGTGAACGTCGCCAGATCGATCCGATCTCATGATGCCGCAGAAGAAGCTGCATGAGGCTAGTTTGGTATGTCTCAGACTTCACTCCTTTGGATAATCCCTTCCCTTCTAGGTTTGCGGGTTTCTGCTCATCATCGCTTGTACCATGTTTGCTCTTGTTGGATATCGGTCATGCGACAAATACCTTTAAAGTCGAATTGAAATGTGAATCTTCAGGGGTCGGACTGCAAGCAAGCTGCAGACATCTCAGGTGAACCAGAATCTGACTGTGTAGCGTCGCTTACCATGAGCTGAAGACCTCTCAGATCGCGCAGCTACTCAAGGTAATTTGATTCCTGGTGAAGGTGAAACATGATCGTCCACCTCTCCTCCCAGGCACAGGCCTTGTTCAATTCCGAAGCACACCTCGATGAGGTGTTGGCGAAGCGTGAGAGAGCAGCAGACATGCACCTTCTTGTAGTGAATCAACTTGTTGGTTAGCGTTGCATCGAACTCTCAAGCTCGATAACGCACAGATTTCTTCGCTGGCAAACAAGGCAAGGCCTCAAGGTTTAGCGCCGGCGTGTGTCTGATGAGCCTGGCAGGTAGCGAAGGACCGCAAGCGGCTTTCCAGTCTCAACGATCGGATTCGGTGACGGCCGACGTGGAGGGTCAACGCTGAGACTGAGGCAGGAGGGTCAACGAGGGCATGCGAGACATCGTGCGAGCGGGTGAGCTTCGCGTGGCGTAGCAGCTTCGACTCTGCGAGATGCTGACGACTTGCTTGCAAGGCTATCGGGTGGACGTGCGGCAGGGGCACGTAGAGGAGGTCGCTGCTCCTTCAGTCGCCGGTGCCTGCGTGACGCTTGACAGCTTCATCCTTCCTACGCGAGCCTGAGGTGGACCCGAGGCTTCAGGTCCCCCGGCTCTCTCCGTCTCGTCGGCTGAAACTTCTCGTTTGCAGCGCCGGCGCTTTCGATTTCGCCAACAAGGAACAAGGTGGGGGAAAAAGACGGGAAACGAGGAAGTGAAGTGACCGATGGAGACCAGGAGGGCATCTGATCATGCAGGCGCTTTCTTCGCAAGGAAAGGCCTCAGGCTTAAGCCAGCGGGTCATCTCTTGTTGAATTGCTTCGACCTCCTCTCACCTTCTCTCATACAGCAAAGGATTGCGCTAGCAGATCTTGCCAATTAACACTCTTGTAGTCATGAAGTGAAGAATTGTAGTTGACATGCCCGTATCAAAGTTATCACCCTCCAAGGTCACTTGCTTGACGCGTTTGTCTCTTTCAGTATCGGGGAGCGTCCGATGCCCTCAGGATGTTGTGCGAGTGATGGGAAGTTGTGCGAGTGATCGGATGTTGTGCGAGTGATCGGAAGTTGTGCGAGTGATCGGAAGTTGTGCGAGTGATCGGAAGTTGTGCGAGTGATCGGAAGTTGTGCGAGTGATCGGAAGTTGTGCGAGTGATCGGATGTTGTGCGAGTGATCGGAAGTTGTGCGAGTGATCGGATGTTGTGCGAGTGATCGGATGTTGTGCGATGATCGGATGTGATCAGCTCTACCGTAGTGATTATTTCACCTGTTTCGCTGTTTCCGAATCCCTTCACATTTAAAAACAGTTAACTACAAACTGAATACTAATTTAAAAATACCCTCGCTCTTTGTCTTATAACTTTTCGTAATTTTTTAAAAGTATTTGTACCAAGGAAATTTAAAATGGTTGACTTTTACATTGTTGGAAGCGCCAGAAATAGATCATGGCAGCGCTGGAGGTGGGGGAGCGAGAAAAAATGGTGAGAAGAGGAGGAGAGATGACGACAGGATATCATGTTGTTGTTGATGTCTCCTCACCAAATCTTCCTTACCATCCTGTCTCCTCTCTATCTCCGTCTGCACAACGAGAATCTTCCTGACTCCTTTCATGAAGATGTACTCTGGGCAAGATCTGGTCATGCCCAACAAGAGCATGAGGTCAGCTGTGAGGAGGACGAAGGCTGTCTTGTCTGCTGTTGTTGTCGGAGTAGCCATGACTGCTCTCATCACGTTGCTCTACTCCTCCGCGAAGGTGGGTCGGTACCTCTCCTCCGGCTCTTCTGACACTCAACAGGATGGTCTCTCGCAGAGCTTCATGCTCGACGAGACCTCGACAGACGCGTCAGGGAACGAGGTTTGAGCTCCATCCTTGCGCAGCAAGATCCTTTTACCGAGATGTGTGAGCAGGCTGCACCTGCCACCCAGGTGGTTGAGAAGGGCCGAGGACAAGGAGGGATGTGGGATGTGCCCCTCCCTCCCGTCGAGAAGAAGATTCTGCAGCCTCAGTTCGCTGCCAAGTATGGAGAAGCTGCTGCTGCTGCCTCTCAGAGGATGTTCAACCCTGTAAGCCAACCCTCCCCCTGCTCACTGTTCGCTTCCCCGTATTGATCCATGTGCAGGTCGCTACTGATAAGAATGGCGATCGGGTTTCGGAAGCAGATGCTCGGTCCATCAAGGCGCGATATGGTCTAGTGGTACCTGGGAGCGAGGTAGATGACGTGTAACCGCTGTCACACACACTGACATGAGGTTGCAAGGATGTGTTCCACGACACCAAGAGCGAGGGCGACGCAACGGCTGAACCCAAGGTCTACACCGCAGAAGAGAGCGATGCTCAGACTGTAGAAGCCCCAACCTGGTTCTCTTCGTCCTCCTTCTTCCCCGTCAGTTCGGTCAGTTTGCAGCAACGAAATGCATTGCGAGTAATCGTGACCAAGCAGAAGGCTCCCCGATTCGTTGCTGTTCCTTCGCCGCTTCGGGTTGTTCCGCAGACCGTCGGTACATGCAGAGCTGTTTGTGAAGAGCTGTCGATGAGAGAGCACAGGTGTAGAGGGAGCCCAGATGCAGCCTGTGGCCATCAGGCAGCAGAGGATCGCATACCCTCAGTTCAACTACCAGACTTCCAGCAGCTTCTCCTCCCCACGTTTGCTTCCTGTGTCCTACTCCGGCCCGGTGGTCATGACGAAGCCTTACGGACCCGTGGTACGTCTCTTCTCTCGCTTGCTCTTCTCATGCAGAACCAGGTGGCAAGAGCTATCCCCAACCCCATGTCGTCGGTCTACAGATTTTCCTCCACCGGCCCGGCCTATGGAGTTTCCGCTCTTCCTTCTGGCGAGGGGCCCGTGGCTGTCCGTGGCATCAACGGGGTCGGTTCAGAATTCTACGTGGGCAACGGGCAGGTGAGAGCGCGACGGCTAGTGGTGGCAGTCAGTCAGTCACCCGCTGCAGGTTCGAGGGATAGGGCTCTATGGGGCCAGCGGCATCGCGAGTGGTCGAGGAGTCAACGCAGCTAAGGTATGAAGAAGCTTCAGCTGCTTGTGCTCACAGGGTGCAGGGACAAGCTGATGGGAAGCGACTCAACGTAGGTTCCGGGGAGGAAGCTGGTTTTGGACTGAGTGGCCAGGTGAAGGAGGTGGCAGATGCAGCTGCCTGATCTGATGTCACGATGGCAGGCGGGTACAGCAGCTGGGGATGGAATCGTGGTGGAGGAAGGCATTGCTCAGGGAAGGGACATCACTGTTCGGCAAGGGACAGTGGCAGGCCAGGTGAGAAGAGGAGAAGAAGTGGGGAAATGCTCCTGATCCTCTTACAGGGCATCCTCATTGGCGACGACGGCACGGGGCATGGTGAGTTCATCGGATCGGGTAAGCGACTGAGACGAGGAGGACGAGGAGGCTGAGACTCTCAAAGGGACCGGGTCGGGGCGAGACCTCTCAGTGAGCAAGGGAACGGCTGTTGGCGCAGGAATCAGCGTGGCGGAAGGACAAGCGAGTGGTCAGACCCTGAGCGCGTGGTGGGTGAGATGTGTGACGTTGCGACAGGGAAAGGCATCACAGTGAACGATGGCGAGCTGCAAGGAAGAGACTTGAGCGCGAGGAAGGGGAGGTGAAGGAGGACTGGGAACCTTGTGCGACCTGACGAGGGTTGACAGCGGAGAGGGAATAGGCATCTCTGTGGACCATGGTACTGCTGAGGGAGTCGGAGTCAAGGTGGAGCAGGTGAGTTTGGAGGGAGAGAGAGCGCAGTGGTCAGTCTGCTGACTCAAGATTCAGGGGACGATCGCTGGGAATGGGATTTACGTGCAGCACGGACAACTTGCACGATCTGTGTGAGGGAGAAAATTAGTGGTAGTAAGCTGTATCTTTACTTGTGGTCATGTCATACATCAAGGTTGTTGTTCTTGTCGTTTACACGTATAGCTGTAGCTCCCCTGCCTCGTTTTGCTGTTCCAGAGAGTCAGAGGAGGAGAGAGTGGGGAAGGAACGCACCTGGACCCTGGAGGCTCCACCTGCCTCCTCCTTTGACCTGAGGCTGCTCTTTCTCCCCTTGGGCTCTTTCTTCTCCTTGTCTGCTGACTTCGTTCGAGCCTCCTCCTTTGCTTCCTTGTTCATATCCACGTGCACCACACGTCGCTCTGGGAACGGGTCCCTCGCTTCCCTGTGCGACGGGCCATCCAAGTCGATGATCTCAGTCGCATGCTGCATGTTCCTTCGCTTCCCCAGCACTGTCGACATGTCACCTCCTCCTCTCAGTCACTCGCACGTCACCTGAGTTGAGCATGGAGTAGGACGCTCTACCCCACGACCACTCGCTGGCCGGGTTAGCTGCGGTGACGTCAGACCGTGAGGCTGCCAGGAGCTCTTGCCTGCTGAGATCTCGTTGCGGAGTCTGCACCAGCAGTAGATGACACAGCCGACTGAGACGACGGAAGCTGCGGGCAGTCAGAGGGAGGAGGGGGTGGGGGTCCAACCTCACCGCAGCCTGCGATGGAAGCGATCACGGGCAACAAGATGTCCCAGCTCAACATGGCTCAAGGGCTCCAAAGGTTGCGAGGATGAGGAGGGTGAAGACAGTTCATGAAGAATTCAAGAGAGATCCAAAACTGGCAAGAGTCAGAGTCACAGCTCCTCCCCTCCTCTTCTCGTCCTCCTCGTTCTCATCTTCCTTCCTGACCTCACCCACTTTGAACTTCAGGGATCCTCACAACATGTCAAGCTTCTCTTCAATTCGCGTTCCCTTCATTTCCGTTTGCTGCTGCCCCTGCCTCTGTCTCTGCCCTGTCTCCTAGACAATTTCTGTCTCTGCCTCCCTCTCGGCCTGCAGCATCCAGCAGTAACTGTCCGATCAGTGTCCCTGTCCTCCTCTCCCTGTCCTCCTCTCCTCCTCTCTCCTCCTCTCTTCTTCTCCTCCTCCTCTCTCTCTCTCTCCCTCTCCTCTTTCGTCTCTGCCATTGTCTCTTGTCTTCGATTCGGCATCTCTTTATTAGGCCCGGGGGAGGGTAATGAGAGTCGAGGGTGGGGTCCGGGCCTTTGACTTTGCCAATGCGCATGTAGAATGACTAGAGAGACTCAGACGAGGAGGTGAAGGAGGAGGAGGAGGAGGAGGAGGAGGAGGAGGAGGAGGAGGAGGAGAGAGTTGTAGGAAGAGACGGATGAGAGTTCGATCTCACTGTCTTTTCGTTCTCTCAACTTCTTGTCTGGACACATTCAAGAGCGGCAGCTTTCCAGGTGAGCAGAGTTATCCTCGACTTGGGGATGGGCAGTAGAAGTCAGTCACCTCCCATGACTCTCGAAGCTATACGTGTAGATATTCAAATTTGTTCGAACATGAAGCGAGCAAGTTACAAGAGGAATGAGGAATGGTGTCAATGAATGCAAGGTACAAGTCATGGCTTGGAGGGGTCAAGTTGTCGCAGCCAGGCAGGAGGACGCGAGGGCCCGTCAGGCGTCAAGGCTCGCGACCTCATCGACTCAGTGGGTTTGGCATCCAGCAAGCTCCCTGCCCCGAGAACCTGCACCACCCGTCCTTAGCAGCGAGCTGGGTAGGGGTGAAGCCATCCATGTTGACGGGCCCTTTAGCGCCGTTGCAGTACATCTCCCAGAAGTCACAGCAGGGGAAGTAGTCAGCGAGGATGCGAAAGCCTGTCTGGTTGTTGGCGATGGGCCAGGTGGAGTTCGAGTCGGGAGCCACTCCTTCCTTCACGCTCGAGATCCCGACGCAATCGTCATCACTCACGCAGTTGGAGAAGAAGCTGCTCTGGTCGCAGATGACGCTCCGGCACGAGATAGCTTTGGGAACAACGACAAAGCTTCCGTAGAAGTTGGCACAAGCCTTGAGCCACATCTGCTTGCACTCGTCTGCATTCAAGTTGCTGTCTAGACTCTGACCCTGCACGCGCGCGTCAGGAGCAGGAGCAGCCGCTTGACTCACCTTGAGGTAGCTCGCCAGCTCTGCCTGCGACGTGGCACATCGCTTCACATGAAAGTTTTTGGGTCGAGCTTGACCGCATTCCGAGGCATCGCTGTAGGTGTACGTCTCTTGAAAGCACTGAGTCCCTGCCCCCCTTCTCCTTCAGTCCCCTGCAGCTGCCAAGCCTTCTACCCCTCACCTGCAACGCAGACATCCGGACATAGCCCGCAGAGCACAACCAGCAACGCGAAGGCACGAAAGTACACCATCCCGCAGCACAGGCGACAACAAGACTATGAATGCAAGCAACCAGTTTGACGGTCTGTTGTCCCTACAGCCAGCACGGAGTGAGCAGTTGTTTGCATTGCTCATTCGTCTCTATCATTCCCTCCTTTACTTGGACGTCACATAATGTGAAAGAAGACTCTCTGGCTGTCTGGCTACATTGTCATGTTTCTGCTCTTCTCTGTCATCCCTCACACCTCATGCTCCTTTGCCAACCGCCTCTTTCAGCATGAATCATATCTTGTCTACGTCTCTTCATGACATACTCCCAGATCTGCATGTTCTGAATATTGTTAGTTTCTCACTCTGACACCGGATCATACTATATGCTCATCGTTCCTTTTCGTCTCGCGCTACACTAGCGTCCCAGAGACTTGAATTTGAAACAGCGATCTGTCCCTCTACCTCGTCTATTTTCCATCGATCTGTTCCTCATGTCTCTAAATTTCCTCTTCTTGTCTACATCCCTTGTTCTCTCTCCCTCCTCTCTCTCCCTCCTCTCCCCCCATCTCTCTCTCCCTCCTTCCCTCCCTCCCTCCTCTCTCTCCCTAGATGACACCCACCCCAGCCGACTCGGCCTG